TTATTTATGGGCACATCATCAGTTTGCTTAAGTGTGTACACCTAACATCTCCACTACGATGTCATTTCTAAAAGTGTCTCCACATTACTTTCTTCATAATTAGTCTCCCGAACTAGGTCCACTAGACACCGGGCTGCCTTGCTGTAAGCCAGTGACCCAACCTTGGGGGTCTGGGAATCGGTTGCTGGGGGCACCATCCTTGGCAATGAGGCCCAGCCCTGGGAGTGAACAGACGGCTACTCTCTAACAGTCCTCAGATTGGCTTCAGAGGAACTGGGTCACTTGTGAATTGCACATCTTCTTACATATCTCTGGTGTTCAGATTGGTTAGTTAATTGTCCGTAATTCTGGCATTGAATGTTTGAGGACACCAAGTTCAGATTCCCATAAAGGAATAATATTAATATAAAACTTTATAATCAATAAAACATTTTTATTAAACTACATTTATATATAAAATCTTTGAACAGGTAAAAATACCTATATAAGTCAAACATTTCTGAAGTATGTTCTATCTCAAAGAAATACATACTTGGAAGCAAAGAGAATTAAAAATTTAAAAACTGATTTAAAAAGTAAGAAGAATAAAAATACCAGCTTTGGTTCCAAAGTTACCGAAGTTATCTGAGGGAATTTTAAAAGGTGTGATTACTCATATTAATATTTGGAACCAGTATTGACAGTTATAAGACTTTGAAATAAAAGTAGAACAAATATAACTAACAATGGCTCCTTCAAGACGCTTTTATGCTCGAGAAGCACAATCTTACTTGACAGGTCTCCATTGAGGATCCTCTACACAACACAGCCTAAAACTGAAAATATTGTGTGAAGTTAGCACAAACACCAAGGATGATAATGATGTTTAAAAGAAAGGAAAATATCCTTTTCCACAATCTTGCTAGAATAGCCTCAGTTGAAAATCCTTCCATTTGCATGATCACCTTGCTTGGTCTATGTTGGCAACGGTTCAGAAATGCTGGGGTATTTATACCACCCCCACCCCCAGATCCCCACGGCGGGGAGCAGTGGGCACCTGGACAGTCTCCGGGGCTGGCGTGCCACCAGCCCACTCCCATGCACGGAGCTAGCCTGAGACGGGTGTTTTGCACTGTGCCCCAGAGCTTTCCCCTTGGGGACGCTGGCTCACCAGGACCCTGTCTCTCCGCTGCCTTCCCATCCCTACTTCCTGACGAGCATTCCTTCCTCACCAAGTAAACTGCTGCACTCAAAGCGCTACACTAGGTTCCACTCCTGGGAGGCCTCATATTAAAACTGTCTCACAACTTATTATCTGCAAAACCGTGGGACTCTCAGGAGGAAGAGAACGGCCTGGTATGACCAGACTCCAAAACACTGGCTGGGTTTCCACCGGTCCCACTCACGTGTCTGTGCCTAGCTTCACTTTGCGTGCTGTGTAAGCTCTAAAAAATACCTATTCTTTCTTTCTATCTATCTATCTATCTATCTATCTATCTATCTATCTATCTATCTATCTACCTATCTATCATTTCAGTCCATGGTATTGTTTACTTGTGAGGCACTTGTGGGTGGTACTCATCCGAGACTACCTTCATTCAAGTTCAAGGTCCAGTTTGGGGGACCTTTAGATAGCCATTTAGACAGGCCACGAGACCTTCTGAGAATCGGCTGGCTTCTCATTCACCTCTCTCTTAGGTCATGATCCTTCAGAGTTATAGGGCAAAGTGGGGGAGGTTTATAAAAACCCCACCATGGCAGCCTCTGAAATCGCACTGTTCTCATCTCTGTGTACTCATTTGAAATATGGTTTATCCTCTCCGCCATTTCTCCTGGACCAGTGGACAGAAATTGCTCACTCTCTTAATAGGTGTTGCTATTACTGTTTTAAAAAAGACATACTCTATCTTCCTAAATTGTCCTCATTGCGTTAGCTATTCCTAATTACCTAGTTGGCAGTTAGCAAATGATGGAGGTCTAGAGATGTTGTTTGAAGTCATTAGATTAGAAGGGGTTATGCAGGGAATGAAAATAAATAGAGAAGAGAAGGGGGTCCCAGAATTCAATGACCAGACACAACAACTTTCAGAGGCCCGGGTAGGAGAAAGAACTAGCAAGCAAACATCAATGTCTGTCTTCAGAGTTTTGCTGTAAAGCAGATCAGGGCAATACCTAGAGGTGGGTGTTTTCATTTTGTTCTGTTTTTAGGAAGGCAGATGAGTCCGCATGTCCTCTAATGTAAAATGCTGACAGGGGAAATTCAGGGAAGCAGCAGAGAGGATAGGGAGCTGTCAGAGAGGGGCCATGGTCTCTCCAAGGCAAACCAACGCAGGAACCGATGCACATCTGGAGAGACTGGGTGGACCACAGACAGTTTATTCGTAGAGCAGGGAAGGAAGGCCAAGAAAGGGAAGAGATGATGCTTGAAGTCAACTTTTGATGCTTCTGGGAGTTTTACGAATGAGAAATGATGTACTAAAAAGAGTAGAAGTATTAATGGGACAGAACCACCTAGCAGCCCCCACTACGACCCACTCGAAATGAACAATCAGAGACTAAAAGTGAACTTATGAGGGGAACATGACAGGTATATCTGAGTAGAAAGTACAGATGTCCAATAAGGAGAAGAGAGTTTGAAGCTGTGTTTTTTAGAATCGCAGTCTATAATATTGACCTTAGTATGACGTGACCTTTACCTCTGTGCTCAGTGTAGCAGAACCAAGCAATATGTTCACCAGCTGAAAGCTGTAAATACATTTTGCTGTTCTGTTCACATGGCAACTTCCTTAATCTCAGTTAATTATTCCGCAAGAACACCCAAAGGAAATCATAAAGCATATTCTTGGAGCGCTCCTGTAACTTGTCAATTGAGAATCTAGAGGGGAGTTTAATTTAATGACTCAGTGCAAGCTTTCCAGTGAATGCAAAATTTCAGTGAGATCTTGTTAACTTAGCCAGTGATGACATCAGGTGCCCAGCGTGCCCGGGCTGCGGATGGTCGGATTGCTTACGGCCATAGGACTCAGCCTGACCGCGCACAGGAAAAAATGCACAGGAGGCCACGCGTAAACTCCATGAAAACGTGATGGGGGAACATTCCCACTAAAAATGGGAACTGAAACCATATGTATGGTAACTGTAAATAAACTTGAGGGAGTCTGCGGCAGCTACAGAGAAAAGACTATGAAAAAGAACTTCTAAGGGACATAAAATAAGAGCCATAAATGGGAAAACATATTATTGGATATATAATTTTTGTACTTCTCAGGTGTATTGAACATAAAAAGTTTACCATTATAAAAATGAAAAGGAAAAGGGAAATAGAAGCTGTGTTTGTTTAAAAGATCGGTAAGCAGGGACGGCGAGGCCTTCCCATCAGCTGCCGGGCGCCCGCAGGGGGCACACCAACCAGGGCTCGGCTTCCTGGTTTCCTTCCAGGAGGCAGCGGCTACCATTTAGGCTTCGGCTTTTCAGTTAGAATGAAAGTTTCAAAAAAAACAAAACACCAAAACCTGCTGATCATAGGGCTACACAAATGTCTGTATCAGAGTGTGGCGGTAATTAAGTTATCTCTTCCATTTCCCTATAGGGCATTCTAATTAGCATACATTTCCTTAATTTGTTGCAGTCACCAAGGACAATGAAATTGTTACCGTTGTGTTTATTTTCTTGCTTGACAACAAATTGTATTTGCTATTTTATTGACTCAGAGTAAAAATGCATAAATGGTTGTCCATAATCAATCTGTTGCGAAACCGGCTATAGGAAATTGAAGGGTTATTAAACCATCATCGAAACCTTGTTGGTTAATCAAGTTTACACTGTTTGTGGTGGACGCACCCATTTGCCGTTTCTTCAGAAGCTGAACCCCATTTTAACTGGCTTTTCTATTCTTCTCCTTTGAAACCTGAGTGACTTGGACAAAGCTGACCCTGCCCCTAGCTCCTGCCATGAGGTAATAGGAACCAAATATAAAATAACAGAAACAAAACATAATGCTACCATGTCTTTGGCCAGAGATGGGTTGAATGGCCCAGGGTTCAGCCACAGACTTGCACTTTTCAGCTAAACCGGCTTGATCAGTCCAGGGGAACTGTCATTCCATGGTGATTGGACAGATCTCTTCATCTCTTTATGTGATTTGTATCAAAAGTATATCTGCATCGCCCCTCCCTCAAAAAATAGACAATAAAGAATTTTAGCTAAAATAATATCTTGTCTATATCATAAAAGTGTGCAAAATAATACCAGCAATATTTGTGGAGTACTCCTACTGTACAATGGATTATATGTGTATTATCTCTCTTTTTAAAAAATTTTTTTAAAAGATTTTATTTATTTATCTTTGGAGAGGAAGGGAAGGAGAGAGGGAGAGAAACATCAATGTATGGTTGCCTTTCGTGCATCCCTTGCTGGGAATTGGCCTGCAGGGAACTGGTCTGCAACCCAGGCATGTGCCCTGACTGGGAATCGAACCGTGATTGTCTGGTTCGCAGGCCCCCACTCAATCCACTGAGCTACAACAGCCAGGGCTGTGTTATCTCTCTTAAGTGTTCATTAGGACAGGGAAGCCTAGAATGGTTCCTAATTTGCCCAAAGTCACAAAACTGGTAAGCTCAATACTGGGAATTCAAACACATTCTGAGATCGCCAAGGCCGACGCTCTCTCTCACAGTCACAGGCGAGGAAGGTACCAATCGCCATGTAATAGACATTCTCGAAGAATCACGCAGTTTGCACAAGCCAACTCCCACCCACACCCTGGTCTGCAGAGGGAGGGCAGACCCCAGAGGCAGGAACTCCTGGCAGGACGCGTTCCCTGCGGCCCCAGCCACGTCCTAGTCTTGGTTCTCTGTTCTCATAGGCCTTTGCTCTCCTGCCCAAGCTGGTGGATGTAGATTTTCTGGCTTTCTCAACCAAAACAAAACTTGGATCAGAAGTCACAGTTCACTCTGACAGGTCAAGTACCTGCAGGCACCAACGTAACCAGACCTGACATTGACCCAGCTGGCATTACCTACCTTGGGCATGCAGACCACCAGGTGCCCTGTGGTCTGAGACCTTTTAGCAGAGCTGCTATCGGGCTGGACTTCTGCCGGGAGGACCAGCTGGAAGGGCTGAAGACGAAGAGGGCATGTCACGGAGCGTAGGCGCGTCTTACGTGGGAGAGTAGTTACTTCGAGAGATACTTTCATTAAAGGTTCATCATTCAATTTCCTAAAATGTGCTTAAACTTACTAGAAAAAATAATACATGAGCTATGCTTGATATGCATTAACTATTTTACCTGTTTTAATGAACAGTCTAAAGAACAAACAATGGAGCACTCATTGACCCATTTATGTCCACACAGCGGACAAAGGATTTGTAGGTAAATGTTACTGTTATAAAACATCAACATTTCCATTTCAAAGTCTTCAAGCTACCTCACACGAATGCTTAGAATTAGCAAAAACTACTATTTCAAAAATGACGGAACTACACTTACTATGAATGAAAGCGCTGACCATTTCGATTTAAAAGAGGGGAGGGGTGGAGGGATTGAGCAAAAAGGAGAAAGGACTCATGGACATGGACCACACTGCAGTGGGTGGGGCAGGGGGTACAAAGGGACTAAATGGTAGTGGGAAAAAATAAAATAAAACTGGGATATTACTTAAATCTAATTTCAAGCATAGGCTACAACATATATAACAGCTTCGGAAAAAGTACCAACAGAATAGACACAAGTTAAAAATATTAATTTCATCAAGTGGCACAACGGTCAGCAACCATGGCCATTGAGCAGCACTCCCGCCGCATAAAATCAGCTCTCTGATTGGGCCTCCCCTTTTCTATTCTAAGATTCCTGGAAGCAGTGTTCAGGCAGCCTAGCTCAGTCCAAGGCGTCGTGGCTTCAGAAGCCGTGATGGTGTGGGTTGCACCTACCTTCCCTTTGACCATTACCCGCACGTAAGTCGGCTGCACATCGACCTTGATTAAAGAGGTGTCCATATACCTTGAAAATCCAAGATATGAAGCATAAGAAATCTTGTGACTTTTCAAAAACATTAAGTGTGCAAGTTAATTTGCAAATACAAACTCACACATATGGGACCTACCATTGTAAATGCACACAGTTTTCCATGCTAAACAGGTCTTAAGAAATTAGCCTTGAGTTAAATCCTCAGACCAAAGGAAATTCAGTACATCAGCGAATTCATTTTTAGACCCTCCAGCACGCTTGGCATGGAGTGCCCCTCACCCAAAAACATCAGAGGCCCGAGACACCAGAGGTTTGCAAAAAACACAGCGTGCCATGTTTTTTCATGAATATTTTATTTTAAGCCCCTCAGAGTGACCTGAACAGCCAGGACTGCTGACTGAACTCTGTGGGGGTGGGGTGGGGAGGGGGTGGGGGGTCCCCACCCCCAGCTCCTGCTTCCTCAGCAGCTCTCCATCGACTGCTGCTGCCCTGATACCACCACCACCACCCCCCCCCGCCCCTCCGCCCACTGGCTGCGCTTCTCCCTGGGACAGCACATCCTGCTGAGCGAGCAAAGCACCCCTCAGTGTCCCCAGGATCAGGTAGCCAATTACTCTGCTCCACTTCCTGAACGAATGGAACATGTAGATCTCACCTCCTCCTTTAGCTAAATAACCATTTTCACACATTTTAAAATAGTGATTGTGAACATTAGAAAATGCAGTGATGATTCAAAAATCAGAAACATCCCAGCAGGTAGGTGACCCTGGGGTTACAGGCACGGGCTTCAGTCACACAGTCCTGTGATGAGGACTCCACACCTTCCTGCTTTACTACCTTGGACTACGTTCTTTTACCTCTCGAAGCCTCAGTTTCCTCATCTGTGAAATGGGCAGTGCCTATTCCCTTAGATTACTATGAAGACACATGCATGGTGCCTAGTACATAGTTAGTGTTTATAAAGCATCATTCAATTTTATTTAATAAAAATTATGATAATAGCCCCAACCAGTGTGGCTCAGTTGGTCGGCATCGTCCCACAAAGTAAAAGGTTGCCAGTTCAATTCCTGGTCACGGCAAGTGCCTGGGTTGCAGATTTGGTTCCCAGTCAGGGCATGGGTGAGAGGCAACCGATTGATATTTCTGTCTAATATCAACATGTCTCTCCTCTTTCTCCCTCCCTTTCCCTCTAAAAATAAAGAAACAAAATACTTTTTAAAGTTTATGATAACAAGGAGTAGCGCCAAGGTCTCCTAAAATGTCATGTGTAGTATCTACCACACGAACGGATGGCATGTTCTCTTCCACGCTCAGGGCCTCCTGAAGTGCTCACCTTCCCCCCCCCCCCCAACAAGATCTCTGCGGGCGCTGCTTTTCTTGGCCTGAAAACGACCTCCAGCCCGTGCCGCACAGACCTCACCACTGCTTTCTCCTCCTTATCTTTTCAGGGCCTGCCCGGCTGACTTTCCCTGACCACACCCCCGGCCACTAAACTACACACACCGTCCTTCCCGTCCCCAGTCTCTGGCCCTCTCCTGCAGGGCACTCTTCGCCTGCTGTGAGGACTTTCTGTTTGCCTGCCTGCCGGCTGTCTTTCTGCCCCACTGGGCCTCAAGCTACAGGAGAGCCGTGACTGTATTTAGAACCGGCCGGCGATGGTCTCCCAGTACCTGGCACAAAGTAGGTATTCTATTGGTATCCGTTAAATAAAGGCAGGAAGGATACATGAATGAATGAGTGAACCTCATGAGTGCGGCCACAGTGAAGACAACAAGGGATTTTAGTGTCATTGGTTTAGAAGCATCATGGGAAGGGAAGGATTTCACTACTAGACAAGGAGACACATCCCTGCTCCTTAAAAATGCGCATGCTTGGGGGTGGGGAAGTTTTCCTTTAAAGATTGAAGGTGAGGCCGCCAACAGAGCTAAAAAGAGAAAAAACTGCACATTCATTAAACTCCAGGAATAAGGCCCAAAAGTGGAAAGGCCCAAAAAAGATGTACCAGAGAATGTTTAACTGGAGAAACAGCGAGGGGGCAGCTTGGGGAGCTGGAGGAACAGCGGGCAGGGAGCTGGCGGAGAAGAGCTGGGAGCTCCTTCAAGGCAAATCAGGCAACGGGGCCGCACAGGGTTAGGGGGCAGGCTGAAGGACGGACAGGTACATGGGGGAGGCAGCTGGGGTGCAGAGGAAGGGACCACACCAAGAGCTAGCCCCTATTCACAACAGCCAAGGGTGGCAACAACCCAGATGCCCACTAACTGGTGAGTGAGTGGCCGAATGTGGTAGATCCGCACAGTGGAATATTAGTTAGTCATGAAAAGGGAGGAGATTCTGACAGATGCTACAACACAAATGAAGCCTAAAGACATCCTGCTATGTGAAGGAAGGCAGACACAAAGGTCACATGTGGTTCAATGCATATGAAATGTCTGGGGAGGCAAATCTATGGAGACCGAAGGCAGATCAGGGGTCGTCAGGGAAACGGGAAGTGAGGAGCGACTGCTTAACGGGTTTGGGGCTTCCCTTCTGGGCAATGAAAACTTCCTGCAAGGAGATAGTAGCAATGGCTGCACAACATGTAAATTTATTAAATTTCACTGAGTGACACACTTGAAATAGATGTACCGATAAATTTTAATTTATGTATTTTACCACAGTTAAAAAAAAAGTTGGAACTAAGCCTGGGGGTGCATGTTCTGGCTTCTCCAATTACTCTCTCCACTTTGACAAGACTCACTCTCTGAAAATCTTTCCCTTCCTGGATAATTCCAGGATAATAATCCCTCTGACTTCATTGGGTTATGAAAAATTAAATAAAATACAGCACGTAAACCAGTCCTTAAAAAGAGAAAAGCCTTTATTATAATTCATGCATACAAATGCTCATTGGTCCCTATCATCAGTATCCATCCATCCATCCATCCATCCATCCATCCATCCATCCCTGTACTTACTGAGCTCCTACCAGGGGCCAGGAACTGTTTTAGGTGCTGGAGATATCAGGAGGGAGGAACAAACAAACAAAACAAAGTTCTTGCCTTGACCAAAATTTTTTCAAATACGAGTGAATGTATAGGTTGTCAGGTAGAAATAAAAAGCACGGGGTGGGGGCAGGGGAGTGGCAGGAAGTTCTGGGAGAGTGGTAGGTGCTGTTTTGTATCAAACCAAGTTTCATTTCAAAAGGGTTCACAACTCAAGAGATTGTCACTGAGAATGAAAACAGGCAGAAATGCCATTAAATAAATGCACAGTAAAGTGTCTTTACCTGTATACAGCCAAGTCCAGGATGATCTGGTTACGTTTTTCATCATCTTTCAAGGAGAAATCAAGTCTAAGGAATAACCCATTTTGGGAAAAAGACAAAAAGGAAAAAGATGATGTCATTAGCAATCTTTTACAAAACAGCTTCATCCCACTATCAAAAGTAAATTTTGTTGTAATTATATAATCATTTCCAATGAATAATGGAATGTCTATGTTAATTTTAAAATTTCAACAGAAATCTGTAATATATTCATAAACTATTTGTTTGCACTGTTTAAATATAAGAATCTTAAGGTAAATTACATACAAACAAAATAGCGTTGGTGCAGAGATGGGGACCTCTGGTGGTTAAAGTCTTCTTTTCCACGTCGTTGGGGTTGCTGGGAGCAAATCAAAACACAGCAAATAGTATGAAGAACTAAATGCTGTACTTCTCTCCCCTTGTCCAAAATTCTGTCCCTTAAGTTTTAAACAGCCTTGGCTCCTTGTTCCTCACCATCTTTTCTCTTCTCCTTTCATTGCTGACCTTTCCACCACCTTGAGAAATGCTTTCGCTGCCCATGGTTTATCATCTGCATCTCTCAGATGAAGAGACAGAGGCTCAGAGAAGATGCTGTAGCTGCGAAAGAGGCCACAGGAGCCTGAAGAGGCAGGATTTTTAAGCCCTAAGTCTTTCGACTCTACCCTGAGGCTGAGTCCTAGGGGTAACTTCCACACTGTTCAGAATGACTATTTCAGGATTACTTGGTCAATTTTATTTTCAGCACTTCACTTATCACATTATTCTGTAAAACACATAACCCAACAATATTGAAGAATATAGGCTAAATATATTCTGACTTTCAGCAGGATGTCTGCTTCTGGCTGTCACTGTCCTTGATTTCAACAGTCCAGCTGTGCAAAACTTCAGTGGCTCAAAAGACCTCTGCATTTTTTATCTCATTTCAGGAGCTGTTTTACATGCTGGCCTCAATTGCTACTCCCCAATTTTCCAGCCAGGCAACATAAACTCTCCCTTCATACATCACTTGAAAGGTTATTTCAGAGAGGTTTTCTATGGCAGAGATTCCCATCATTCCCCACTATCTGCTCCCCTTTTCTCACTAGGAATAGGACCCCTGGTTTTAACTAGGAACATGGCTCTGCAGAATAAAGACTACATTTTCCAGCCTCCCTTGCAGCTAGATGAGGTCATATGATTTAGTTCTATAAAGGAAAGTGTTACATGGCACTTTCCAGGAATTTTCCTAAAGAGAGTTGGTGTGTGTCCTTCCCTCCCTTCCTCCTTCTTTACTCAACTGAGTAGAAGAGATTATAGGAGGCCAAGAGAGGAACCACAGAAACTGCTTAACATGCTATTGTAATTGTCTAGGTCTTGTTGACAATGCATAAGCTCCATAGGGCACAGTGGATGGGGCTGGGTGGGGGGGGTCTAAGAGAGGAAAGAGAATGAAATCGATTAACAGGTGTACAGAGTCATGTGGGAATAAGATTCTGGATGATGACAGATGACCCAGGAGGGTTGGGAGGGACAACCACAGCATGACAGACATAGGTGGTAGAGGTGATAGGTAATCAGGGCTTCACAGGATCCTCCTAACAGTATGAGTTCTAGGTGCAGGTAAAGTGGTCAGTGTGGTGGGAGAAATGGTGGTCTCACTAGGGGCCCAGAGAGCTCTGGGGGCCTCCTAAGCCCTGTCAGAGTTGATTTTTAATCTCCATGAAGGAAGAAACTTGTCATGTTCACTGCTGTATCACCAGTGACCAGCATCATGGCTTGTACCGCATTCACGCCTGCTGGATAAAGAAGGTACATGGGGCCAGGGGCGAGGGGGAGGTTATAACCTTGACTGTGGACATCACTACAAGTGGGTTAGCATGACCAAGTCAGACACACCACCTATCAGCTATGTGACCTTGGGCAAGTCATTTCACCTCTCTCAGGCTCAGGCTTTGGATCTATGAAAAAGAAACACAACCTGTCATGCAGGACTGCCACAAAGAAGAAATGAATAATGCCTGGCAATCCTTCAGGATGGTACCTCTATCATGGAAATGGCTAGCAAACCAATGATGAAAGTCCACAGGTTTCGAGTAATAAAATGAGGTGAACAAGATTTAGACCATAGGCTTTGGGGGTCTGTATTTTGGCTACAAAAGGCCTTGATAGCTGGCTTTCTAGTTTTGAATTTTAAGATAGCCAGGGAGGGTAGATCATGTATTATCATACTTGAGAATTTCCAATTTGAATATTTTTTCCTTTCTCATTAACTTCATGGAGATATTTATATTGACTTTTTTCCCCTGAGCTCTCAGATGCTTTGAGGATGCGTTCCAGGGTATAAAGTCGAAGGAAAGAAGATGTGTCAATATTCTCAGCCAGCTTGCTCATGGCAGAGTTTTAAAAATTGATACACACAGCAATAACACACTGGCAATTCTCAGGTATGAAACTGTAGACGGTCCGGAGTTCCAGGCCATGCATGAAATACCAAGGACTCCTATATGTCAAGATCATTTTCTGGGCTCCAAGAAAACCAAGTGTGACATTATGCACTTGAAAACATAATGCACGTTTTGCTTTCGGATGTGCACAAATGTCATTCTTACTAGGCATGGAGCTTGTGAGGGAGGTCAGGAGGTCAGACATACTCTCCCCAGGCACACCTGTCATTGCAGTGACTGACCCCACAGAGTTAGCGCCTGCAGAGTCCCGGGCCTTACGTACTTGGGCTCGTTGACGTTCAGGGCTCTCCCGTCTTCCGTGATCAAAGTCCTGGGTGCTTTCACTTTCTTCTTTTCGCTTAAGATTGGGGGTAGGTGGGAACACGGGGCAGAGGCAAGAGGGGAAAACAAACAAGGAGAATATAAAAGTAATTGACATTTTTTGATAATTAGTTCAGAAAAAATTAATCAGATATTTGAGAACATGTCAACTATTTACTGTTAGGAAGTCCATTCCATGCTGGAAATCGACTATCGAGGTCAATGTCTATATGGTCATATCTATGTCTGAGACCGAGACAATTTGCCAGATGATTTACTGGGTGGGAGGGGGGGAGCTCTTTTCATGAAACACCCATTAATATTTAAATAAGTCTACTTTATGCATGACTTACCCAGATCACTGTCAATTCTCCATTTGTGTATGTAGCCTCTGCTTCAGTTGCAATTACAATTTTTAAAATGCCACGTAGCATCCATAGAAATGAAAACACCAGTCCACGAGGGCCCGTGTAATGGGAGGTCCAACCTCTGCACCACCTGCGGTGGCCAAGCCCAGGCGGGGCCCAGATGCCCACCAGCAGAGGAGTGACTCAGCCAGGAGGGGTATTTATTGTGTTGTGGTTAGAAATGTGCTCGCTCTTTACCTACCGATCTAAAAACCAACAGGAAAGTGTGAATGATGTATTTAGTGAGAACAAATTGTACCAAATAGAAGTCCATTTTCGTTTTTTAAACTAAGACTCCAAATCCCACATTTGCGGAAATAATTCATACAATTGTAGAGGGCAGAGGACGTTCTGGTGGGATTGACCCGAGGCCGTAACACTCCCTGTGTTGAAGGTGTAAGGACAGGAGGTGAAGAAATGCAGCAAAGAGGAAAGGATTTGCGGGTAACGTGGGGAAATGGGCAATGTGAGTTCTATACATTTAAAACATGACTAAAAATATACGAAAACTATAACAGGCATATATCAGATGGAAGAACAGAGGATCAGACGGACAACTTTGTTTACATAACAAAATTGTAGGCAATTCTTTGCCTTGGACTTCTATTTTTCTTTCTTCAATTTTATCTTTCAACCATGGTTTATATTTGACGTTATTTTAAATTGGATTCAAGAGTCCACAATAGTGGTCAGACAACCGTATACTTTACAAAGTAGTTCCTCCGATATTTCCAGTACACAGCTAGCACCATATGTAGTTTCTACAATATTATTGACTATCTTCTCTATTGTTCTTTCAGTATTGGTTTTATGTCAGTTAACTTTATTTTAAGACATAAATTTCTTCAAACTTTTCTGCCTCTTACACTGGGCCCCCGGTCTAAGAAGGTGATGTTCCCATGAACTACTTTATTCTCTAGGAACCGGGATGATTAAGGCGCGTCCACAAAGCGGGGACATCTCAGGAACCCGGGGGTGTGGGTGGAATGCTGCGCCCTGAACAGAGTGGCTGTTCTTTCGCTGGGCTGTCGGAGAAAGAAAAATCTCTCCAGCTCTCAGGCTCAATAAAAAAATGTCATTTATATATAACGTATTATATATGTATGTGTATATATGTATATACATCAGAAATATAGTACTTATTCAATAAACCTGTGGAATTTCCATTTCAAAGAGTCTCGGAGCCATCAAAGCACTTTTACGTTTATTGGCCCATCTGATTCTCTTGACAGTACAGGGGGAGGGGGAGGCGGGGGTGCGAGTCCCTGCTTAATGGGCGAGGAAACAGAGGAGGAGCAGTTAAGTACCAGCCAAAGCCACGCCAAGTAAGCAGCAGAGTGGCCACGTGGATCCACAGCCTCAGACATGATGCGATGCTCTTCCCAAGCACTGACTGGCCTCTCGGTACACAAACCGCCAAATTTTATAAACAAGCGTTTTTGACAAAAATCCTACTCTCATTTTTGCACGTCCCTGTCTATCTCATTAATAAAGAAAATGTTACGAAAGCAGCAGAGATTGCTAATTGCTTTGCTACCCTTCTGGTTTCTTACTATATTTCAGAGCTAATTGATCGCATTCCCGAGCTCATGAATTTTAAGTATTCCCGTAAGTGATACATTTTACGCAGTAGACTTAAGCAGCGACGTGAAGTGGAATGATGCAGAGTCTATCTTTAAAAAAGCTGCTCTGAAAATAATAGCTTAAGCATTCTAGCTGCTAACAAATTACATCTAAATAATTTGAAAGTGAAAGCATACCATTAAATGTCCAAGAGAGTTGTATTAGGAGAAAATATAGCATCTAATGAAACTAATTATTGATTTTGCAAATTAAAAGGAACTCATTCACCCCACAAAGTGGCCCTGTCCCTGGTCCCATGACTGCTTGTGTCTCTAACCCAGCCCTGCTCTGAGGATACACATTTAAAGAGGTTACAAAACCAAAGACTCACTAACAAAACCCTCCCTAAAGTGGCATTGATTCAAGGTATTCTGAAGGAGGTCATTTGATGTTAATACATGTTAGTGCATACAGTTCAACAGAAAACAGAACTTAAAAAAGCGAAGCTTACAGGCAATGGCTAACAAAGGCTGAACACAGATCATGAGTCAAAAGGACGTGTAACCATAAAAATATAGTCCCCAAAAGAGTGTTAGCTTACTCTCGACAACAGGAAAAAATGGAATACCTTAACTTTTCTTGGTCTTTTCGTTGTTTCTCCATATGCCTGAGAGTTTCCAGTCTAGACTCGGGAGTGAACGGAGAGGGTTTATTCCAGAATTCCAGGTCATCTTCACTGTCATCTAACTTCTTCTTGTTTGGGTCCCCACCTTGCGCTTCTGGTGCCGGGAGGTGACCTTTGCTCTCTGCAGAAGTGGGGCTAGGAAATGACCAAAAGACACCCAGCACGTAAGGCGGCCGTGTGAGCTTCATCCTTAGGGCTGCCCCTTAAATATCACACCCGTTATTACCTTGTGTTACCTTCCTAGCCCGACCAGACGTGTCTGAACCAGGGCTTACCCGAACCGGGCTGGAGGGGCCACTGCTGAGCTCGGGGCAGGCCCTTCTCATCTGGCACCAGGAGAGAGGGTGCAGAAATCCGATACAAGTGCTCACACCCAGGCCCACAGGAATCACTGGGGAGCTTTAGAAAAAGCACAGATTCTCGGGTTCCCACGAGAGAGTCTAGTTCAGTAGACTTGGGGTGAGGCCCAGCAATCTGTGTTTTATAATATTTTGCAGGAGGCTCCGAAGAGCAGAGAAACTACAGGGCTGCTCAGCCTCAGCAATCACCCCCTCTCCAGAACTGCACCCCTCAACCCTACCCTCCCAGAGCATCTTTCTAACAGGGAAACCACGTCATGTGATTTCCAGGTTCTCTGGCTCTGAAACTCCCGAGTGGGACACGTGAGGTCCCCCATGGCATGACCTCTACTTCTTGTGGATAACTTGAATTTGTAGCTTTATGGGGTAAAAGTACCATGTTTTCTTTTTTATTCATGTTTTATGGACTGTCAGCAAATTAAAGGACACCTCTACATGGCATCAGATCGGTATTTTATGAGATATTGAATGTCTGTTCAATACAGACTCGACATTTTTATTGAGCATCTTCTGTGTGCCAGGCACCAGAGACACAAGCCCAGTCGAGACGGACAAGGACCCTGCCTTGGGACCCTAGTGTGTTCTAGCAGAGCGAAAGTGAGCGTGTCCCCACAGGACATGGGGACAGGCGCTCTCCCCTCGCCTCCCACTAGAATGTTCACTTCAGTTCAGTGACACCGACCAAAGACACCCACAGGGACCCTGCAGCACCAAGCATGGTGAGTGGTAAGCGCTCACACGCCTCACACACGTGCTCAAACGTCCAACTTGGTGGTTTTGGGACTGAAATGAGAGGCACAAAAGGCTCCTTTTGCTGAACTTCCAATGAAGTACTTTCTGAAGGGATGTACCAAAAATACTAGGACACGAAATTGAAATAGTATAACCAGAACACAGAGTAAAAGTCTGCTTGGATTCTTTACTTATTATAAAGTCCAGCTGGAGAGTTTAATATGCTACATAATGCAAATCACTGAAAATAAATGTTTTGCCATAGAGCTATAATTCTTTACGGTCTAAAAAGCAATCTATTTAGGAGAACTAATATTCTACAATATTCTAGCTAATGTAACTGAAGTAATTGGTTCCATTCTCACTTAAAATAATTTGTTTTTTGCTAGAAAGTGACTAACTGGTTTCCTTTTGCCTTTCTCAAGTGAAACAAAAAAATTTTAAAACATAAAAATAATTGTACTTAAAAAACTTTTGGAAATCTCAGCTAAATAGCAGAAGTCTCCGAAGGCCAAACGCATGTGAGTGCATGTGGCTGGTTGGTGGAACAGACCGAGCTCACTAGCAAATGAAAGAGACTGCTCCTCAGCCACCTCCTTCAAACCTGCTCTCTGGGACCTCCCTTCCCACTCGGGAGCGCATCCCACGCTCACTCCCGAGCACAGCCTCATCTCAGCTGACACTCACCTTTAGGTATTGAAAGGTCTACAGTTTCAACAAAACTCCAGACTCACATGCCAATCGAAGCCTTCCCCTCCCTCTCCAGACCCTTCTCCTCACCCAGCTCAAGCCTGGCCTGGGTGTGGGGGGAGGGACAGGTGCCCCATCTCGCCGGGCCTCTCCAGCCTCTTCCTGACTTCCGAAATTTGGGCCGGGAGGCGGGATGGGGAGAGAAGGCAAACACTTGTGAGAATGATGCGGTTACTCCTGGGCCTCGGCCCTTCTCCAGCCGATACCCGCTTACTGGCTTTCTCTCCCGAGCCTGTTTGTTGGTTCCTGAGGACAGTACAAGAGCCTTCCAAGTTCATTGTTCCCGCCAGAGTGATCACTACATGATCTGGCAGGTCCTTTGTGATAATTCCAGAACTCCTTCCACTGACAAGCCGCCCCGGGCTCTCCCTGCCACCACCCTCCCGGCAGTGTCCCCTCCCTTCTCCACAGCTCAGGTGCAGCTCCTGCACCTGTGCAGGTGCTTCCCTACAGCCTCCTCCCTGAGCCTGCTGCTCCGGCTCCTCCAGGCCACCTGCCACCTCCCAGATCTCCAGGCTGGCCGCAGACAGGGGCCCCAAGTCTCCATGGCCTTGCTTCTTGACAAGAGAGCAGCCCCCGATTCCTCTACTCTGACTTTACTGGAGACTCACAGTGAGTCTCCTCCAGAATGAGGAGGTTCTGAAGGGGCTGACGCCCGAGGGACGGCCAGTCCCAGGGGGGAACAAGTAGGCACCTGTAAGAAACCCAACTGGGTGCTTCTACTAAAATGTACAGGACAAACCATCTTAAGCCTCTGTAAACTTTTGTAAACCAAGAATAGAAAGTGGTCCCAACACAATGTATGTGCCTATTATAACTTTGATGCAAAACACCAGGGAAAATACAATGAAAAGGGGAGATTGTAGCATAAACATAGTTGTGAACATAGGTTAAATAGTATTTAAAACACTAGCAAAATGGATGCAGCAATGCGTTAAAAATATATGATGGACCCTGGCTGGTGTAGCTCAGTGGATTGAGCACAGGCCTGTGAAGCAAAGGGTCACCGGTTCGATTCCCAGTCAGGGCACATGCCTGTCTTGTGGGCCAGGTCCATGGCTGTGGGTGTACAAGAGGCAACCGCACATTGATGTTTCTCTCCCTCCCTTCCCTTCTTTCTAAAAATAAATTAAAATCTTAAAAATACATAGAGCAGAGGTAGAAAGCTTGGAAAAAATTAAGTTGCTATTTATTTAAAAAATGTTTTTCTACCTAGAAAAGGCAGGATAATCTCCTGACAAACTATTGCATCTTTTTAAAAAGTTCATTTGGATAGTTTAACACAATATCAGTATGCAAAAATCATTTGTCTTTCTAAACATCAGCAAGAACCAATTACAAGTTTATTTTTAAAATCCCATTCTATAAGATACTTAGAAATAAATCTAATGAAATGTGGTATGAGATCTTTATTGAGAAAATTACAAAAGTTTACTGAAGGACTCAAAAGGTCTAAATAAATAGAGAGCCATTCTAAAAAGTTCAGCACGAAAAGAACCAATGTCGTGAAGATGTCAACTTTCCCCTAATTAATGTATAAATGAAATGCAATTCCTATCAAAATTATACTGGCGATTTTGGGGAATTTGAATAGCAGATTCTAAAATTCTAAAGAAGGAGAAAAATTTAAGAAGAGCCAAAATAATTTTGAAGACTGAGACTATCTCCTACCAAATACCAAGGTTTAGCATAAAGGGATAGGAATTCAGACCGTGTGAAGGGGCTCCCTTGGAACGGTCTGAGGGGCCAGAGTGGACCCACAAGTCCATGAGCAGGGGTGCGTAGTGAGGGTGTGGTCACAGGTCGGTGGAGTCAGAACCACACCTGAGCAGGTGGTGCAGACAGGTAAGCTACCTGTCTGGGAAATGACTGGTACCCGACCCTACACTGCAGTCAGAAGCTAATTCTAGATAGACACGCTGAGGCCGTGAAGAATTTCATAAACAAGGCCACAGAGGACAAAAAAAGTTCAGCTACATGGATATTTTTGAATTCTATTAAGCAGAATCACTTATTAAAATTAACAAGTCACATATTGGGAAGAGATATTTACAAAGCACATAACCACTAACGAAAGTGCATTTAGAATGCAGAAGAACTGTAAGTCGATAAGGAAAAAAAACCTTACAGCTGATTTAAAATAAGCAGAGGACCTGAGTAGAACCAAAATACAAGAAATCTAACTAGCCAATAAACATATAAGAAGATATTTGAGATATTCAACTCACTCGTAATTCCACAAATTCAAATTAAGTATAAAGTGCTGCAAATAACCACCTTGATTGGCTGATGTTTTTAAATCTCACATTATCTAGTACTGGCAAAGATTACATGTGTATAAATTAATACGTTTTCAAAAACAATTGGTAATTAATGCATATAAACTTGAAAAGATGCTCCTAATTGATGATGTGGCAACATCATTGCTGAACACCCTGTAGAAGACTTCACACCTGCACAAAGGGGGCTTGTGCAACATCATCTGGAAAAACAAAAGAGGGAGAACAACCCAACAGCCACCCAAAGAAGGCCGGCCGGCCGTGGGCTGGTCTTCAGTGGGCAGCCAGCCCCGGGGAGGGCCACGCACAATGTCCGAGCCGGTGGGCCCTCTGAGTGGTCAGGGCCAGCGAGTCACTAGCTGTTAGGTGTTTTCCGTATCACCTGTGGGTGCACTGTGCTTTGTTCACCCAGCGGAGTGTTATTACCCAGTCAGAATGAAGGAACTAGTTCACGTGTCTTCATATGCATAAATCTCAGAAACATAACGCTGAATGAAAATCAAATCAGTAGAAAGACACTCATTCGAAAACACACACACACCAAACTACACCTGTGCAAGGAGGCACAATCACCTCGTACAAACATAAGATGGGGTGGGAGCGGCACACTGGAATGTGGCAGACGCCGCTGCGGACCACAAGAGGGACGGGGTGCGGGAGGAACCCTCGGGGGCTTCTGCTCCATCAGTGATATTTTATTTCTTATTTTAAAAGAGATCAGCCCTGGCTGATCTCCGGCTCCAGCTCCGGCTGGTGATTGAGCGCCAGCCTGCGAAACAAAGGGTCACTGGTTCGATTCCCAGTCCTGGCACACATCTGGGTTGCGGCCCAGGTCTCCAGTTGGGGGCGTGCAAAAGGCAACCACACATGGATGTTTCTCTCCCTCTCGCTAACAATAAATAAATAAATAAAATATTTTAAAAAGAGAGAGATCAAAGCAAACATGCAAACAATTGACATTTATTAAGTCTGGATGGTGGAATCATAGCTGCCTAATTTTTTAAACATTTACATATATTTGAAAATTTTATAATCATTTTCTCAAGCTTAAGAGATTTTGTTATCAAATGTTTAAAGCTTTTACTGTATAGAATCAACTCAACTGACTATAGTTGCCATTCACTTGAACAAGAATAATTCATGTTTGTAAAAAAGACCAATTAAAAGCTTATTAATCGCATTAAAATGTATTCATTATGTAATTCACAAAACAGAATATTTTATGATGCAATCAAAACTAAGCAATTGGTAATAATGTGATTTGCATCTGACTTCTCTAAAATATCCCTACTCTACAAGTCAAAGTCTAATACACCTGTTAATTTATCTCTACTGTGCATCTTTCAGGCAGATTCTGTCTGAGGATAAGTTTAGACGCAAATGTAAATTGTTAGTTTGGAAAGGCTCTATTTTCGAAGGGAAGAAAGCCTCACAGGATTCTCACAAACAGTGGGATGCTCACAGCCTCCCCCCCAAATTCACATAATAATGTATTCTTCACATTCATCATCGGGAATGCGACACTGTGAACACCTGGGGAAGAGAATGCTGTCGGCTGCTCTTAACAGAAATTAACGCGAAAGTAAACTAATAATTTACATACAGCGCGGCACCCCCCCCCAAGCCTGTGTCCCAGCACCTGTCAAAGTCTGGACGACTTCCCTCCTCGTGTTCACGCTCCTCTTGAAGCTTCCTCTGAGCCTCTTTCTTGTCGTTGGCTCGCTTGAGGCAGTACGCTCTCTCCTGCTCTCTGATTTGCTGTTCAATTTCTGGAAAGTTCTGTAACGCCTGAATCCTTTCAGAACGTTCTATTTCTTTACCATCCAACCACTTGAATAAAAAACAACCAACACAAAGCAGTTATTCAAGAGCTGCAATGTGAATTGGCCCCCAGGTGACATTGACTGGAATACTTAAACTTAGAAATAATAAATAATGCACCATCGTGAGATGGGAAACATCGGACACTTTGATCTAAGTCAATGTTTATTTCACACAATCGACACAGATTATAAATGGTCTCTGATAAGTAGGTCTTCTGTGAAAACCGATGACTATGACCAGCTCTCCAAATGCAAGTATATTAATTCTGTAATTACTCACTATATAAAGGATTTCGATGCCCCAGGTCAAACCGTAGCTCCAAAGTGTAATAATGACCCTTCCCAAACGCTCTCTGCAAGAAAGGGCCTTGTACTATACATCACATGAAATTGCACTCTAATACATATGACCTCATGTCCTACCTCCTCCGAGAGACACCGAGTGAGTGGACTATTAATTGTTATGGTCTCTGTTGACACCAGTATTTTTATAGTGATTTTTCAAGTTGAAACAGACAAAGGAAGCACCAACCCAAAACCTACAGCTTCAAAGCTACAAGTTTAAGGACACCCTTCTGTTTACCCAGCTTCAGTCTGCAGACCGAGGGGAGGTATTTAGAAAGGTGTGATCGGCCAAAACACGCCCCTCCTCCCAAGAATAGACAAGTTCTAATTTTAAGCCACAAAAGGGATTTCTTAGATGTGATTAAATTGAGGGTTTTGAGATGGGGAGATGAATCAGATTGCCTGCGGGGGCCCAGGGTAATCCCGAGAGTCCTTCAAGGGAAGGAAAGAAGAAGGCAGAAGTGTCAGGGTCAGAGTTAGGGAGAGATCCCAAGGCACTTCGCTGCTGGCTTTGAAGGAGGAAGGGCCTACTATCTCAAAACCACAGGCACCGCACAGAAGCTGAAACCTCCAGGGAAGCAGACTCCCCCTGCAGCCTCCTGAGGAACACAGCCTTGCCGACACCACCGTTTTAGGCTTCCGACACCAACAACTGTCAAGAGTGTCAGTCTGCATTGTCTGAAGCCACCACGTTTGCGGTAACTCTTTACCCGAGCAATAGGAAACTAATACAAAAGGAAAAAGCACACCCAGGGGCTGAAGCAAAATAGGAAAGTGTGATCAGTTACGTGCTTTGTGTTGTCTTTCATGAGAAAATATTCTAGTGTCCAGCTTTCCCTTAACAGTTATTTCTGAAACACATTCCTGAAGTTGAGCTTCAGCGTGGAGAGCTGGAGAAAGCTTCACACTGTTCGCAGAGCGGCGGGCTTCATAAAGGCGGATCTCCAAGGAAAGATCCGACTCACTACTAGCTACTCCTCCAGGGGATAAGTAATTACGGTCCAAATACTTAGCACCGCTTTTTTAAATTAACCTAATTCAACCCAGAGTTAAGATCTAAACAGTTTGACAAATTCTGAATATATATAATTTCTTCCATTGGAATTTTGACAAATATTGGGAAGCAAAGTGCTATTTCCTCACTTGTATCTGGGACACAAGGATCTAAGGATGTACCTTTAAAAATGCGTGTGTGTGTGTGTGTGTGTGTGTGTGTAAAATTGTGTGTATCTTCCACTTCAGGTTAAGCAAACACTGATTTAATCTAGACCTCCTATTTCTAAAAGATTATGATAAATGAATCCCCATCACTACACAGACGGGAACCAGAAAAGCTCATATTGGGAACTAATAACAAATTTGAGACTCTGCCTCCCATCTGCCAGCCCTGTCCCAGGGGTCTTCCCACTGGATCTCAACTTATTTAACAACTTCCGTTAGGTGGTCTTTGAAACTGGCCGAGTTTCCTTCAAGCCAAAACCACACGTGAAGGTAGACAGCCTCATGAACTGAGAGATGAAGTTTTAAGTTGTGCATCGTAACAGGCATTTCTTGGTCTTTATCTACGGTTCCTGAAACACAGAGGCAGAGTGTCCACGTTTATTGATAACCATTGAACATATAAGCTATGGCAAGGAGGAAAAGAAACAAAGATTTATCCAAAGCCTCAAGGAACTCTTTCCAAGGAAGAGCTACTGTTCCATTACAGATTAGGAAAATGAGGCATGCGGCTCATAGCTGGTGGGGACCAAAGTCACGCCCTGCTCTGCCTGCTGCCCAAGTTCACTCACCCTGTTACCGTGTCCACTAGCTACCTGGACCGGCTCGGCCACTCGAAGAGGGTACTTGAAAGGGCTGGATCTCCTCACACCTTTTCCTCGTGTCTGTCTAAATAACTACTTCGTTGGTACGAGTTAAATTGTGTCTCCCCCTCAAAACAGTTGGAGCCCTACCCCCAACACCTCAGACTGTGACCTTATCTGGAAATAGTCACTGCAGACACGTTATTGAAGGTGAGGCCACCGTGGAGGAGGGTGGGCCACTAACCCAATGGGACTAGTGTCCCTATAACCAGAATGCCAGGTGCAGAGAGAGGCCCATGGAGAATTCCATGGGAGGATGGGGGCAGAGCCAGAAGTGATGATTCTTCAAGCTAAGGAACGTCCAAGACTGCTCACCACCACCACGAGAGGGGCAGGGGGCGATTCTCCTCCACAGCCCTCAAAGGGGACCAACCCTTTGATCCTGACACCTTGACCTTGAATTCCCAGCCTCCAGAACTAGGAGACAGTAGATGTCTGGTGTTTGAGTCACCCAGTCTGGGGGACTGGGTTACGGCAGCCCTGGGAAAGTGATACCTCTCTCAACACAATTCCCTTCGAGCCGATCACAGCTTCTCATGAGGTAAGTGGCGACTAAGATTCTAAAGCTTATCAGCCTACTCTCAAATCCCAGTAAGCACATTTATGGGTGCTGTTTATCAAGGGGAGGCTGCTGCCCAGGGTGATGGCGGAGTGGGAGCGGGCTCTGTGAGATGGATGACTTGCTCCCGAGTCTTGCTGCTAAGTCTGTGCATCGACCTGGAGGAGAGCAGTGAGAAGGGCTGCAGTGTGAACAATGGTTCAAATCCCACCTGAGCCATCTGCCCGTGGGTCAGCTTGAAGGAGGGCCACTGCTCTTTGAGCCCTGCCTTCCCCATCGCCGAGTGCGCAGCTCGTCTCCCTGCTGGGGTCCAGGAGGGTCGGGGAGGTTGTGCCGAAAGCACCTGGAGCAGCCTGGCCCGGGGCCCAGGTGCCTGTCTGTGGCACTCACAGAATTCCAGCGGGACCACGGCAGCACGGACGAGGGCTTGGCAGTGCTGGCCGGGTAGACTGGGGTGGCCCTGCAGCTTCCCAGGGAAAGGACTCACAGCACGAGGCTGCAGTCATGCCTGTGATGCTCTGGTCTGCACCAGTTCATCTTCAGAAGTCGTTGTACAACGAGGATCAACCCGGATTCCATTTGAGACAGTTTCTCATTTATTCTAAACCTACATTCTGGATTCAATTACCTGAGTCACTCATTCTCTTAAAGAAATTCTACGTGAGGAGAAATGTGTCCCATTAACCCAGAAACCTCAGCTACACGGAACACAGCAGTCTAAAAACAGACGTCCTCCGAGGACTGAAGACAATGCCTATCAGAGCCAGCACCCCTGGGCCTTCTCTCCGTGTGGAGACACGGGCCCCAGGCGGGTCGGCAACTCTGGGAATTGTATGGAAATTAGCATTACTTCTTTAATGTGCTCAGTTGCACGATTTCTCTGAAAATCATATGCTTTTTCCCATTCCAAAAATATCAGATAAGGGGAGAGACAGCATGGGAGATGAAGGCAGAGTGCTGTTTCTCAGATGAGGTTGCAGGACCAGCCGGCATCGCCTGAGAGCTGTTGGAAATGCCAGGTAGGTTTGGCTGGGGTGGGCGGGAGTGGGGAGGGGAGGTGGAAGGGGCAAATGCAGACAACTGTAATTGAACAACAAAAAATTAATTAAAAAAAACAGAAATGCAAGTCTTGGGTGTCGTATCAGACCCACTGCATTGGGGGTCTGGGGGCGGAGCCCGGCAAACGCCATCCAAGTGTCCCAATAGCTACCACAGTTTGAGAACAACTGACACAGGGAACAAGTCAACAGAAAGCAGTAACAAAATAATAATCATAAAACTTATCAGAACAGAGGAGTGAAAGACTAGGAAAACCAAAGGCATTTGTAACTGCGGCCACCTCAGAAACTCAAGCTATTGGTGGTGACGAACGGTCTTTATAACAACTGTTTGACTTTATCAAAAAAAGTTAAATTGAGCTCTGTATATTCTGAACGAGGGAGAAAAGTATGCAGTTTACTTTTTCAGAGATTTATGAAAGCAATTAAAACAACTGTAAAGGCTCAATCGGTCAAAGGATTGTGTTTTTTTCCTGGAACATTTCCCTCTCTGAAGCTGCACACTCCCTGACAACGCGGTGAGTAAATCGGTGGTCGGCAGTTTTCACTTCTTCCAAGATGCCCGCGTCACCGAAACAAGCCCACCTTCAATTGGCGCAGAGCTGCCACCACGAACTGCCGGTAGCCCTCGAAGTCGGCACACGGGTTCCCCATGAGGAAGAGCTCCCGCAGGTGGATGTTGTGCTGCAAGCTTTTCACGCTGCTCAGCTCGCCAATGAAGTTCACGGTCAGGTCAAGTTTTACCAGCCCCTCGCAGCCTGTTGGGGGGAAATGAAAACAAAGGAAAAATCACGCTGGTAATAACGTGGGCAACAGCACAGAACAGAAGTGGCGGTCTCCGTATTTTAAGCCCGCTGACTGCTGGCACTGCATACCAAACCCCGTCCCTGTCACGTGCTCGGTGTGCGGGCCCGGAGAGCTCCGCGCCTCGGCACTCCTGGTCCATCCGTAGGAGTGGAACAGCGCTGGTGCCCAGGGCGGGGGCTGCTGTGAAGGCAATGCGAGATCATCCCAGCAACGCATTTACTTAGCAAGTGCCTTCCACCTGCAGAGCTTTGGGAAACGTGGTTTAGGGTTAGGAAAGGCCCAATGAGCACCCTTGGGACCATCAGGTGGCCCTTGGACTCTGCCGAGGCAAAGAAGGACACCAGCTACCAAGTGAGTGAGAGTTTGCAGTTCCTTCCAGGGAACTACGGAGGAGCTGGCCTGGTTTGGACAGCAGCCTCCGGGCACTGGGCTGGGCATGAGGCTGCCCCTCGCTGTGACCGGCGCAGGCTCACGGGGCTGGCGTGGCAGGTGTTCCAGCCTTCGATATCTTCAGAGTCACCTGCAGCTGACAACCCAGCTCTGCCTGGTTCTGCACGCCGCCCTTCCCACGGGCTTTCTGACCGTATACGGCTGCTCTGCCACGGCTCTGTGGCTTTGTAACTTAGGGTGAACTCTGGTTCCTCGTATCGAACATTAAGCTCACCAAAACGCACTCGATTCAGATTGGTTCACGGCTCGGCAGCCATGTCACCTGTGGCAAAGTTCTTCTCATTTCTGAAGTCCGAGTAGCGGAACCACTTCCACTGAAGGGCAGCTCTCTCTCCCTTCCCCCTCCTTCAGGCTAGCACCTGACCCACCTCATCCCAAACTCCAAGTTTTCCTCCTGTCTAGTCAGATCCCAAGCTGGTCTCCTGCAACCAGGTTAGTTCCACTCTAGTGCTTCCAGATGTAGGTCCCCACCCTGTGTGCACGCATCCACCCAGGAGTTACGGGTCCCTGCCGTGCACAAGTCACCGAGCCAGGTCTCCTGGATGAAGTGGGAAACTCCACGGTGTTCCACCTCGTGTCTGTGTCTAACATGGAGGAAGGGGAGAAAGAGATGGACACAGGAATTTTCATGGGCAGAGACAGAGAGCTGAAGCCGGAGTGGCGGGCGGAGCCCAGGAGGAGGACTGCCCACTGAATCCACGCTCACTGCTGCTTCTCTCTCAGCCCCCACTCCGCGCTCACCCCGCTGCTCCGGCCGCCGCCCCCAACGTTCTACTGCATCTGCTCCTCCACGGGCAACCAAGGACCTTTAGGTACACCCTCTTCGACCCATCATGTCCCCGGAACAATCGGCTGCACGAGGCAGGACTGGCCCCAGACTCTCTTGAACCTCTCGGCTGTCTCGGAAACCAACCCCACTTTCTTCTCTGGAACGCAGTCCGCTCCTCTGCCCCCTTCACACACAGCCCTGCCCTGCTCCGTCGGTGGTGGTGCACGCAGCACGGATCGCAGGACCTCCATCACTGACCCTGGGCTCTCTCTCCACACGGTCTTCTCCTCGACAACAGCCGTGTTCATCGGTTTAACTAACCCAGATGCCGGGGGCTCCCAAACATTAGCCCCAATATCTGACCTCCCGATGGAATATCGTACTGTTTTCATATGCCTGCGAGACGTGTCACACTGAACTTGTCTGAAACTGAATTCTCCATTGTTTCTCCCACTCTCCAGGCTCAAGACCCGGCAGGGAAAGAAGGAATCCAGAGGGGGTGAGAACCAGGAGTGAGGAGTAGGAGCTCGAGCAGGGGGGCGTGTGGGGGTGGGGGGCGCTGGGGGCAGGGTGAAACCCACACGGGAGGCTGCCTGGCAGGGGAAGCAGGGAAGCAGGAGCACACACGGGGAAGAAGGCACGTGTCGGGGGACAGCCCCCTGCAGGCACCGGAGGCCGAGTGGAGTGAGGAGCCGGTCCCACAGCCGAGGACCTGCCCCAAGCACAGGGGTAGCAAAGGTCGCAAAGAAGCCATCTTGGAAGTGGAGCCTCTCACGACAGCTTCCTCCCCACGCTGATGGCAGGACCAGGGAGGGACCTCCCAGCCAAACTCCTCCTGAACTCCTGACCCACAAAACAGCAGGGTGTGGGGGGGCATTGCTTTCAGGCAGGAAGCTGCAGGGTCGTCTTCTTCACTGCAGCAGACAGCCGGGACTGTGAGGCAATGAGCTAAGGGACTGCCAAGGTTCCCGCAGCTGCAACATGGGGAATTAGGCACGGGACCCAGGTCTGCCCAGCAGAAAAGCCTCTTGAAACTGGTACCTCAGAACTTGCCAATGTGAGCTACTTACTACTAACGAAGCCTCATTACCACCATCATCGCTTTAAAATCCTCAAGCTCAAGGCTTGAGAAAGGCATCCCTGCAGATGTATCCACAAGGAACACAGCTTGGGGTGTGCAAGTGCACACAGTAGTAGTCACACCCAACGAATGGTGGGGCCCAGCACAGGACCAGCCTGCCATTCAGAGCAGGGCCTGAGAGAGCCAGGGCAGCGGAAGACGACGGTGGGGGTGGGAGGCAGAAGAAAGGCCAGCGGCTAGACCGGAGCCAGCGAAGACGAGAGCCATCCCTCCCCCAGCAAAGTGTTAACACAGAACACCAGTCACTGTACCTGGGGCCACACCCCATATCTCTCTAGGGTATCCCGTTGTGTGACATAAATGTCAGCAGGGGGACAGAGGGGAACAAAGAACCCTGGATGTGGCGTGAGAGAACACAGTCTACATCTTCCACGTCAGGAGCGCGGCAGATGGCGCCCACAGCGGGGCTGTGGAGGAAGCGTGGGCGAAGCCCATCTGAGCGCACGGTGTGGAAGCCACAGCAGGAGCTGGGAGTGGCCACCTCTACGGGCAGGACTTAGGGGTCAGAGGGCAAGATAAAAGACTGCTGTTTCCTAACAAAAGCATAGCGCGCACTTGGACTTTTCAAACTGTGCATTGTGCTACTCTAGTAAACCTTAATCATGAAGAAGAGGAACATCCAAAATGTACAAGAACAAATAAACACTCTTGTATGTTCTAGATTCTAGAGGTGAAGGAAATTCATAACTTCATATCTTCAAAAACAATCACATCTATGAAAAAGGACAACAAAACTGTTATTTCTATTAAACTTGCAACAATAGGGGCAATTTTTTTTGTAAATACTGTTCAGCCTGTAAGACAACAAGTACACTTTCCAGCATTCCATCTGACAACATATCACATGGGCTTTTAAATGTTTTTCCCTGGATCCAGGATTTCATTTGGATACATCCATAAAAACCAAGTAAATTGTACCAAGCTGTTCCGAAGAGTTTTGTTCACAATTTTCAAACATAATTAAAAACGCTTTAAGCACAAAGCAATACGGATTACTTAAAACACATCAATATATCTGGTAATTCAGTCATAAAAATATAAAAATGTGGACTCAGCGGCTACATGAAGAATGAAACTACATGTGTATATAAATATAATTCAGTTTATGTCTCTCTGTATGTTTGTGTTACATTGGAGAGAAAAGTTTTATGAAATGGGAAAGATATATTTGGGGCACTCTAACTCGAGATACAGGTGACCGGGTATTTCCTAGTTCGCTCTGACAGATTCTGGGAGCCATTTCAAGCATGCTTTTCTTTCATATAAGAACAGCCTGACATTTGAACGACTCCAACAAGTTCGAAAATTCATGTATTTTTAAATTTTGCTGGAGTGCTGTAGACGAAGGACCCTCCAAATGTTCATCGTATTTTTCAGAGGGACGAATTCTCAATTCTTCTACTCAACCTGCATGTGAGAAACTAAACCACATTTGCCATTAGCCTAAAGAACAATTCTCGCTGAACAGGCCAGGCTGGAGAAAGACTCCTCTTTGGGGTGAGGCACCCCTTCTTGCAACTGGGTCTCACCCTCTCTCTCCTGTACTATGACAGTTTAGATCAGTGACGGGGGCAGGTCCTGAAGGTCATTGAAATCAACAGCACTGACTTCCCAGGGAAGGAGCTCACATTAGCAGGGGCCCCACCTCTCCTTCTAGGCTAGGGTGATGAGGAGGAGGAATGGAAGGAAGAGGGAGGGAAGGGGAGGGAGGGAAGGGAGGGAAGGGGAGGGGGGGGGAGGGAGGGGGGAGGGAAGGAGGGGGGGGGGAGGGAGGGAAGGAGGGGGAGGGGAGGGAGGGGGGGAGGGGGGGGAGGGAGGGAAGGAGAAGGTACTTTATTTTGTCCCAGTGATTCCACAACAGGGAAAATAAAAGGGTACTAGCTATTTTTTTTTTTTTGCCATCCAGCTACAGAAAAAAATGTATAACTTATGTTTAAAATTATATTGAGATTTACTCAAGTAGGTGGGCTGAGTGTGCGTACCCATTTTCCTCCTCTCTCACCGTCAACATTAAACAAAAAGTGCGTATTTGCCAGCAGATGAGATGCCCGTCCGCCATCCACATCCGTCTGCAGGCAGAGAGCATCCACACTGGAGCCGGGAGGTGGAGCTCGGGGAGGGAGAAGCATCCAGGCAACAGGCCAGACGGAGATGGACTCGGGTTCCCGCAGCCCAAGACGACAATAGTGGCAATGCTGCTCTCTAGTGGCAGATGACCAAAACACACAGCGAAAAGAGGATGTTCCCCGTCCTTTCAGATACTTCTCTCAAAAATAGCAAGCCGTGGGCATACCAGCGGAGAGTGACAGTTTTCACGGTTCCTCCGACATCTTGGATTGACAGTTTACTGCCACAAACCATGGATCCTGAGTAGCTTTTGTCATGCCGTTTGTTCACGTGAGAACAGGGTAAAGGGGCTGTCCAGCGGGACCGGGCCTCCCCTTCTAACGCCGAGGAACCCTCTGGACTCCAGCGCGGTCGTGCGCTTGGGGGCTCTGGCGGTGACGATACACTGGGTTTTGAGGATGAAAATTCAAAGTGCATGGTGACTATTTATGTCTGTGTGGGTGCAAACCTCTGACAGCCACTGAAATACCAGTTTCTACACTAGGAGGTGAATAGGCTACAGTCTACCACAACCTAAGGAAAATCCTCCCTATCTTAGCTCTTGGCAGATGGGGGTGGGGTGGCCCTGCGCTCGGCCACCCCGTGCCTGCCCTGTGCACAGAGCCTGCACGGCCCAGCGAGGGACTGGACGCGGAAACCCAGCCTGCCAACCACGGCACAGCCCACACCAGCCACCGGATCCACCAAATCCTGTGTGGCTGTGAACAGACACCGACTGCTCCCAGACACTTAGAAGAAACCAACAGCAGGAACTAGAAGCCCCCGGAGTAAAACAGGAAACCTTCTGGGATGTAGAACAAGACAAGGAGGTTTAGGGAAGGAATGCAGGTTGAAAGGCGTGGAGGGTCGATGTGGTACACCCCAAATATGTTTAAAACAGGTCTGAGGGAAGACCCGAGAAAACAGAGGTGACGGGTGTGTCTACAGTCTTCGACCTGGTGACGATTTCAAGAGTGTGTACCTGTGTCGGAACTCCTCAAACCTGTACGTGAAGCGTGTGCCAGTCCTTGTGTGTCAGGTATACCTCAATAAAGCCACTATTTAAAGAGAATAATTGTGCTCAAAGGACACCGTCGAGAAAGTTGATCGGAAAACCCGCAAAAATGAGAGGATATATTGTTTAACTCATACTGTTTACATGAAATCCTCAATCTCTATTCTAATTAGCAAAATAAGATAAAACACTTACCTTCCAGATTTTCAATTTTTTCAATGTTGTTTAAAGCTAAATTCAAATATTCAAGTTTCTTCAGCTTGCTAACATTTTCTGAAATATACAAATAATGTAATTAACCTTCGAGATAAAAGCCGTGTTTACATAACTCACTGTGAGGGCGATAAAGAGGATCTAAGAATGACTCTGGTTGCCGAGGCCTCGTGGGGCTTTGCATGCACCCAGCCACGCCCGCACCCCCCACACACACTGTAGGTTGGCTTTGCCACGGCCACGCCTCCTCCAGCCTTTCTGGGAGTCTGCTCTGCTCGTGTTTCTGTCCTGCCCCACCTCCAGGGGTCAGGATTGCATGGCAATCCCACGTCCCTCGCCAGCGACAGCTCAGGGGCTCCGGCTGGAGTCCGCAGGCCCACGGCAGTCTCCTGGCAACGCGTGATGCGGGAGAGGGCAGGCTGCCCAGTGCCCCCAACCAGAGGACGGGGGAAGATCAGCTTCATGCTTGGGACCACCTTCCTCTTTTTCTGTTGGCTGATAGAAAAAGAAGGAAGTGTTGCCCCTACGGATTCGCACGTCATCCTGTGACCAGGAGGGACCAGCTCTAGGACGAAGCCCATCGTGGCTGGCAGAGCAGAGAGAAGGAATGGAGCAGCCCCGAGAAGAGGCCTGCCCCGTCTGTCTCTAGACTCATCACTGGGTGGGATACTAGGTGTCCTCACTGGAAAGCCACGCTGAATCGAGTTTTCCTTTACTTAAAGCCCGAGTCATGCTGATAAAGGACTATCGTTTTTAAGAAATATGAAAACCCATACAGGCAAAACAACAACCACAAGTCAGTCAAGAAATCAATGTAGGATGGGGCCTTTTAAAAACAGCTAACAGTACCGTGACTAGTGTGGCTCAGTGGACTGAGTGCCGGCCTGTGAATCGAAGGGTCGCTGGTTCGATGCCCAGTCAGGGCACATGCCTGGGCTGCAGGCAGGGCTCCCACTAGAGGGTGTGTGAGAGAAACACACTGATGTTTCTCTCCCTCTCTTTCTCCTTCCCTTCCCCTCTCTCTAAAAATAAATAAAATATTTTAAAAATAAATAAATAAAAACAGCTAACATGGCCAAGTACTTATTATGTGCCATGTAATTTTCTAAGCATTTTGCATATATTATGTCATGAATCCTCATAACGACCCTATAAGGTAAACACTCTATTACTACCTCCCGCTCACAAATGAGAACACTTAGGTGTGAAGAACTAACCCATTTGCTGCAGGCGAAGTGGGAGAGTCAGAACACTTGGCTGGGGGGCCTGGCAGTGAATCACGACGCCACACCTGGAAAGAGCGGTCCCTTCTATGACGACGGGAGTGTGAAAACCCCACCAGGAAATGCGTGGCCGGGCAGCCCCGCTTCCAGAGACACCCCTCTGCCCACCGCTCAGGGGTGGTACAGAGATCAAGTACGATTACTTATAATCACCACCCTGTCATCCTGTCTCACTTACAATTTACAAAAGATTCTATATGTTGCCACAACCCAAGAATAACACTTTTCCCCTTTAAGTCTCAGTTGACTCATTTTTTTCACAATGAGAATTTTAGAAAAAATTCCTCAAGCGTCTCTCGGCGGTTTGATTATCCTGAGTAACACTGACGTTCAGGGAAGGTTCTCTAGGCAACATCTGAGCATTCAATAGGCGACAGATTTGTGGAGCTCTGAGTGCCAGGGTTTTGATAGACAGGAGTGTCTAGTCTGCATCCTGAGCAAAAACACCCGAAGTTAACATTGTTACAATTGCCAGCCCACCACAGAATACCTCTTCTTTCCCCCACGCTGGTGACACATAGAACCCTCTAAATGCTAAAAGAGTCACCCTGTAGAAAAATAAAGTTCAGATTTGTTCCAGAAGGATGTCCTAAATTAACCGAAGAGCAATGGGCCAAAGGGCCAGGACAGAACACGTTTCACAAGTAACACGTTTCCTAAGTAACAGTGTGTAGAGCATCGGCAGCAGGGAGGGCGTCTGAGCGTCCTGGCCCAAACCACGCTGGAAGCCGTTGTCACCAGCTGCCATAACCAGACCTTTCCCTCCCCGACTCAAGCGGCTCGGGGGCTCCCAACTCCTCCCCACACCAGGCTCCCTGGAAGGTCACTACAAATGGAGACCACGCTGGGAGCCTACGCCCACAGATTCTGAGTCCGGAGGTCTGGGGTGGGGCCTGGGGGTGTCCCAGAGGGTCCTCGGCTCACTCCTGGACCAACACGAAGCCTTCCCCCCAGACCCGCCGGTCTCTCCCAGTGAGGAGCAGAGCTTCAGGAAACACAGCCGTTTTGCAGACTTCCACCTCCGGGGCACGGGAGCAGGTCCGGGCCCCAGAGAAACAGTTGTACTCGCTAAACAAGTGCCTGAGTGCGTGTGGGTGGAGCAGCCCTGACAACCCCCATTATCGCAATTCAGAAGGGCGTTTAATTGAAGAACACTTGGGAAGCAAGCATGTAGGCCCTCTCGGAGCTCTGGAAGGGACAGAAATACTACGCTGCTAATTAGTCATTGTGGCGGGCGCAGCTGCACAGACTAAAATTTCGGGAACCCTTTTGGACCTGAGCGATGAGGGCGGCCCTCCCGTGCCCCTGGCATGAAGCGGGGGTTGTCTGTAACAACCTCTTAGCGGAGAGATGCGCCAGTTCTGAATTTCTGATAGTCAGAGATGCCGGAAATAACTTTCTGGAGAAATGTAAAGAACTCTGATAAATCTTCCCCCCTGAATGATGCAAATTCTGGGGTTTCTGGAACCTTCCGGCATTCGGGATGACCCACCAAACCCGAGGCGACCACGTCACCCAGGGCTGCTCCGCCCCAGCTACACTGGCGTTTGGGGCCTGGTGCCTCCTGTGTGTGGTACCGTCCTGGGGCGGTCGGCAGGGTCCCTGGCCTCCCCACACTGCCTGACATTAGCAGCCCCCACCCCGTTCAACACACACACACACACACATACACTATGACAACAAAACGTCTCCAGACAAGGCCACTCGGCCCTGTGGAGGTCTCCTGCACATGACAGTGGAAAGTGAAACCTGACTTAGAAGCTGGCCTCTGGGTTCCAGCGCCACGACCCACGGGGTCCCGCTCACTCACCCGTCAACCCTGACCCCAGCCCTTCTCCTCCAACTCTGTTCCAGGTGCTCCCTTCCGCGCTGACCTTCCCTGGCCTTGCCTGGGGCACCCCCGGGTCAACAGCACTATCAACCATGGCAGCAGCTGTCATCTCCCGAGCCAGTACGGTGCTACCTGCAGTGGTTCCTGTAGCCCAGGGACCGCTTCAGCCTGCGAGGTGTTACGATCCCCGCTTCACACACGAGGCTGAGCCTCCACGACGTCCCCATCCGACCTCACTCCACAAGGTTTCTAAGCGGAGGAGGCGGAGCTCACACCCAGGTCTACCTGACGGCAGAGCCCGTTCCTGCTCTAACCCCTAAGTGACACCGGTGTTCTCTGAGTGCTGGGGGACGCTGCTCCTGTTTCCATGTGGCAGGACCCCTGTTAGAATGACTCCACAGGCCTCCCTCCCTGCTGCGTTAACTCACTGTTGGCCGGGTGGGGCGGCGGAGGACCAACTTGTCCCATGGATGGATGAATTGGGAGAAGGCAACGCACATGCCCTGACCCGCCCTCTCTCCTGGCTTCTGGGACCTCCCTGCAATGGAGGGCACAGGGTCCCCTCCGGCTGCTGCCATCAAGCAAGGGCCCGGGCACTGGTAAGGGAACCCGTGGTGGTTTCCTGCTGCTGCTCGGATAGGGTGGAAGCCCACTGGGCCGTCAGCCTCAACCACGTTTTCTAGAGGGTTTTGTCCGTCATGGTGCTCATATTCCGGTCTTCATCCCCCTGACTCCTCTGTTCACCTTTCATTCCTTTCCAAACTGGTCCAGTAAACAAAGACATAATCATCAAAGCCCCCCAACACCCAACTCTAAGCACTGTGCCTTCCTTGCGAATAAACACCCACCACACATCGGGCAGAACTGGCCACCCCAGGCTGCGGCAGCCTGAGGAGGACTCACTCGGTCCCCACAAAACCCTTCCCGTCTTCCGGAGGATGTGAAGCCCAGGCAGGCACCTGGATCACGTCCTCTCCTCCCTGGCCAACTTCTCAAAAACCCAGTTATGTACGAGCAGGTCACCGAACGTGCCCCCACCTTGAACGCCCCCCTCCTCCTCCATGGGAAGGTTCCACACGCAGCCCCGGGCAATTCTCTCTGAGCCACCGCCTTCCTCCGAGAATGCACCGCCTTCCCCAGGTTCTCCCACCCACAGGGTCCCAGAAGCCGCGAGAACAGAGGCCCGAACACTCACCGATCTTCCCGATGAGATTGTTCTGCAGGTAGAGGATTTTCAAGTCCCGGCACCACCTGTCCAGGTGCTCCAGCCTTTCTATCTCCTGCTGGTGCAGGGAGAGCTCCTCCAAGGAGAAGATCACGCAGTCGTTGTGCTCGGCGTTCCGTCTGATGAGGTCTTCTGTGACTGAGAGAACACGCGTTACACACCCCGCACCTCGGGGTCCTCGCCGGGTTATTGCATCATCCACACGTGGGTCTTTCTCGGCGGTGAAACGCCGATTTCCAGGCCCAGGGGATTTTCCAAAGGAAAGCGCCCCGGGAAGTGCTGCCCCCTGCTGGAGGTCCTGTGGAACCACGATGGGGTCAGAGGGAACAGACGCGAAGATGCCAGTTTTGTCTCCAGAGCAGGGTCTTGTGCGGATGGAGACAGGGTTGATGGGTAATGACTACAAGACTGTTGATAGGGAATCTTGTGGCTCTAAGTGAGCTCCACAAACCCATGGATGAGGGAGGGCGGATTTCTGGGTCCTTGCTACCATCAGAGCTAGAATCCATGGGGCCAGAAGGACGTGCCCAACCAGAGCCCCTGCCTGGCCCTCCAGACCATGCCCCGGGTACGGGAGCAGTGAAATTCTCTAGCCAAGCTGCCCCACGCCTGCTCCAAACCCTGCACCAGCCGCGGCTCCAGGCTCATTCCTAAAGACAGACTGACTGCACCAGGGATGCATCCCTCTTCCAGGGGTGTCCGAGGAGCAGCTGTTTTCCGGGGATGTGGGTGGTTTGGTGTGTAGGCAGTATCCACCTTCATACATGGACATGGGGGGCCAGGATAGAGCCCAGCCAGGGGAGGGGGGGACGACAGAGGGGGAGGGGTGGGCCAGGGAGCCAGCTCCTCCAGCAGCCCTACCCGCCACGGACCCTGAGGAGTCTGAGAAACACGTACTAAATATAGCCCTCTGGGTTTTCACGAAGGCATTCTTCTAGAGAGGAAAACATATTGGGCAGTTCGATTGCAACTTGATACATGGTCCTGCACTGATATTCTTTCCCAGACCAGATGCCCAGGTGCCTGGGAAGGCCCAGCGGGGTATCCACGTGGAAGGTCTGAACCTAACTGAACTCCACAGGAGCTGTGGCTGCAGGCGTGGTTAAGTCGGATGTGATGGGGGGGTTCTGAAAGCATTCTGTTAGGCATCACTTGGTCCCCAGCCTGGTGGCTGCATCAGCGTTTGCTCAGCCCACAGAAGGCTCCCTGGGTCTTGGGGACACTACAGGTATCAGCCCCCTCAGCTCTGCGGTCTGAAAGGTTCTTCTGATGTATCCAAACCTAAAGTCTTGCAGGTTCTTCCCACGGCTGACCAAGTTCCTACTGGTACCAAATACCCTTCTTATGTTCTCTTGCTCCACCTTTGTTCAAATTAAAAAGCACTCTTTTTATAATGCTATCACATGTGTGAATTTGATCATTTCCATGCAGTTGTCAAATCTTTGCTTTGGGGGGCACATAGCTAATAGGAAGGAATGATGTTGATTCATATCTCCCGATCATGAGAATTAAGACAATAATCACTATTAGTTGAAAAGGGTGCGGGGCAGGGGAATCTCCCTACCGGAAATAACTAGTTTGCACACAGGCGCACACCAGGGCGAGGAGGGGCTCAGAGTTCGTTCAGCACAACAGGGAAGCCTGCTCAACAGCAACCATACATAATTAGCATAGGTTGAGAAAACAAAACCAAAACGGAGAATCACAGGAGCCAGTAAACGGGGAAGGCCTTGAATTGCCCAGGGGCCCTTTTCTGAACCCTGCTATATTAGGCACGCTGTTGGGGAACACGCCGTTGGTAGCACTCGAGAAATGGTTGGGACACAGCACGGCCTTGCCTGTAGTGCCAAAACCGGGGTCCCCAAGAAGAAACCGGTCGGGATATTCCACATGCTGTATGGAGATGATAGGGTTTCGTGCTTTTCAATGCGAAAGCGCTTTGCAGTTTTATTTACCCTGTAATTTAGATCAAACGTTCTTTAACCCCAAGGAGCGCTGTTCACCTTTAGAGAGTCCTACTCTAAATGGTAAAGCACTGTGTTTACAAGAAATCAAGGGATTTAAAATGCTCTGGAAGCATTCATATGGCATCGCAGGCCTATTTCAAGAGAGGTGGTTTACAATGCCTATTGTTTGGTAAGAAGAACACGCTGAGGCATTGCGTGCAACATGTTTTCGCTTCCTTATTTTGGAAAAATGTAAATAGCAAAACGCAGGACTTTGCTGGATTCTGAGCGATGTCTCAGCCACAGAAGGTCCAAGCCAATGTCACACGACTGGACGAATGAGTGGACCACTGACTGTGCTAACGGCTTTAGCTGCAGCTTCCTACTTCTCTCACTGAAAGAATTCCGCTGAGGAATCCAGGGATTTCACCAAAATTGATCAGCTAGCCGAGGGGTCCTTTCAAATCCTTGCTATGATGGGATTCTGATACCCTGAGGGAGTGTCAGTGAAATGACTTGTGGGTGGGGGAGCAGAGGGCCGAGGGCGGCATGTGGGGGGTTGCCACGCTGGGCTGGTTTCCACAAAGCTTTTTGGCGTGACGAGCGTTTCAGAAACCCCCCGAGCCAGCAACTTAGCGTCCGTTCCTTCAAGCTTTAGACAACGCTTTGTGAACAGCCCTCTGTTTCTCGCTGGATTAGAACGAAATCAATAATATACGTTTGTGGCAGCTTTTGCAGAATGTTTAAAACATCTCTAAAGACCTAGCAGATACATACAGGGATGGGCAAAAGCAGGCTTACTGCTGTTCGTGTGGAAAATAATACAATAATTAGTAAATAATAGTACAAGAATAAACCGTGTTTTGCATGCTCACAGCTGTAAACCCGCTTTTGCTGCACCCTGTACATGAAATAGAGATTTAATAGAAATTAAGGGGTCACAAATAAGTGGTTACCTCTTGAAGCGTCTAACGACTCTTCTTTCTCTACTTTTTTAAAAGAAACTCTTAAAAACAGGACGATTCATTCGGCCTGCCTTTCCCTGCTGTGTTAGCGCAATGCGCGCTATTGGAAACATCAGTCAAGTGCAGTTGGGCAACGATGGAAGTCCACACCGCAGCGTGCACTACGGGAGGCGCGATCAGTGCTACTGAGCGACAAGAGGGAGGTCAAAAGAGGCCTCAGGGAGAAGCCTGAGCTGAATCTGGCGCTGGGAGGCGATGTCTGCGGACAGGAAAGGGCAGCCCGGCTGCCGCACCTGCCAGGCTGTGCCGCAGGTTGCCCCTGCAGCTCTGGAAGAGCAACTCCTCCTGCTGGGCCTTCTGCCAGCAGACAGCCCCCAGCTGCCCGCCTTCTTCGGAAGTCACTTCAGATGAAGACACCTCAGCAGAGGTCACGCCCTTCCCCAGCAAAGCCCATCTCCAGTGGTCGGTTGCCATGGGGCTACAAAGGCCCATCCTCTCACCCCAGCTTGCGATGGCTCCCGTTGCAAGTTTAGAGTTCCTTGCAAGTGTCCCGTTAGCTAGCCAAAGCCTTTGTTAAGATGCATCACAAATTCCCTCTCCAGCCAACCTCTCTTTCTTCCCAGCCACCAGTAACACTCCCCAGGAAACCTCCTGCATACCGCTCTCCATGCAAAGTCTGCTTCCTGGGGAGCTCACCCTGGAAGACTTAATGCCGGAAGTGATCCCAAATGCAGAGGCCAAGACAGGACTTTGAAATCAGATTCCCTGATGCCCAGGTGGCAACGAGGACACCGACCATTACTGCTGGGTAGATATTATGATGAAGGGCAAGGTCGAAGTGACAGCCAGTGACAGTGGGGTTTACCCACGGAGAGAAGGTTAACAGAACATTACACCACTAAGGACAATATAGATGGGCAGCCATCAACGATACTCCTCAGCCTGAACAATCAACATGCAAGGGTCAATGACCTGAGGGAGAAGGACATCTCCTCCATAAAAATTCACAGGTTCCTGTCCAGGTTCCAGGCCTTCGCCTGTTCTTGGACCTGAAACTAAGGTTGCCAGATTTGGGGGGTGGAGAATATATATGTCTACACATACATACACATACACACATTGTCCTGTATTTTACCTGACAACCCACTGACTGAAAGAGAGGCTGGGTCCCCAAAGGGAAGGCCTCTGCAACACCCTAACAAGACTTCATGGCAATGATACCTCCAGTCCTTTAAAAAACTAAGTGATGGCCACTACTTGAATAATCATAGGCTGGGAAAGGGGCTCGAGCTGACAAGAACGCCTACAAACGCAAAGCATTGTGCAGGTATCCTTATTAGAATGGGGACACGTCGGGGACATCGTCCAGGTTAATAAGTGCGGTCACACCCACGTGCAACGTGCAGTGAGCCCACAGTTTGTTAATCCATGAATAAGTGTAAATGTTGGAGAATAGTTGGGTTGTTTCTTTTTGTCCTTACTATGAGGAGAGCAGTTGCTGTGAAGAGACACATACAAGCCTTTGTGTGGACAAAGGTTTCCCCTTTTCATTGGTAATATCCAGGGGTAAAATGAGTGGGTCACAGGACAGAAAGAAAATTTTCATTTAATTTTTTACGACTGTCTGTCGAATTTTTTCCTATTGTTTTACTAGTGTGTATGAGAGAAAATAGCAGTACCTGGTTTAGGAAATGGGGTGGTCACATTTACAAATTACCCGCACCCTTCGCTGCCAGGATGTCAGCTCTTCCACAACAGAAATCGCGTCATCTAGCACCAAGTCCCTTGGCTTTAGAACAGTAACCGTAACACTTTTTACAATAAGTGATCGATTAGGTCGGACTGCACCAAGTCGCCTTTCAGGGAGGACAAATAAGGTGCCCGCATCAGACGGGTTCCTTCTACTATGTACGGTTCCACCTGACCTGCATCCTGTTAACCCGTCACTTCCCACGGTTCTCTCCGTGTCTTCGAAGCAGCACTTGCACAGCACAATGTCTGCAAAAGATATGGTTCTTGCCTTGTTACTGTCTTGGAGGTGAGGAGGCTTGGGCCCAAAGGGGTGAAGTCACTGGCTCCTAGACAGCAGGTGGAGCGGGGAGGCTGGACGCGGATCCCTGGACCACCGGGCACACTGCCCTCCCGAACGGGTCTGGGGCTGCGGCTCTGGGACAGCGACGAGCCCGCGACCACACCACAAGCAAGGGCACGCGCGGGCTCAGTGTGTGTGACCCCTGCGCTCCCACCGTCCCTTTGCATCCACCCCACGTGCACCCCATTTCACAGAAGGTGACCCCGAGCCTCTCAGAGGCCAGGCTGCCAGGAGGGTCGGAAGAGGACCTGGCCCAGCTGGGTCTGCACAGGGCGAAGGGACAGGCTGTGCCGCGCTGGGCTCCGGTCAGGGCTGGCGCCGAGGGTCCGAGTGGACCCCGGACGATGGCTGGAAAGGGAAGGATCGAGGACAGAAGGTGGAAGGGAGAGCTTACTCCGGCCCATGGCGCCTCTGCGGTTCGTGTGCCCCGGGAGCCTGACCCAAGATCCCCGGGACTCCCTTTTCTCGTTCCTGCGCGTCCACACGGTCCTTGGGAACCATGGCAACGAGGACTCTACGGAGGCCGCGCGGGACCAGACGGCACCGCCTTCCCAGAGCTCGGAAGGAGCTGGGAGGTGAGACCCCGCGGTGGAGGGAATCGTAGGCGGGGACAGGGCTGTCCCCACTCCAGACCTCGCCAGGTTCCACGACCCCCGCCTGGCCTTCCGCGGGCCGCTTCCCTTCCTCCGAATCAACTGGCCAAGGTGAACCGAGATCCGCACGGGCTCCCTTTTCCTGATGGGATCCACCTCCAAAGCCCCCTAGTCTAGTCTTGTCTCTTGGCCTTCCCTCTACCTTTTTTTTTTCCCCTTTTTGTATTTTATTTAACACCTTCCAGAACCAGGTAATCAGGATTTGACCTTCACTCCATTTACTAGCGGTGAGGCCTTAAACTTCCCGAGCCTCAGTTTCTTCCTCTGTAAGCTGAGTGGTAATAGTAACTTCGAGGATGGTTGTGAAGCTTTAACCAGAAAATTGGAGTGACTGAGAGACACTTTTTTAAAAACAACGGTCTCTCTTCAGAGTCACCGCCCAACACCAATCAGTTTCCTGCCAAACAATTTTCAGAAAACCACACCCACTATCCCCTCCTTCAACTTTCCAAAGCAGCGGTGCTAACGGAGAGTGTAGAAGTCTTCCTCCTGTGGTCTGAATACTCCGCCCACAGTAACCCAAGCCTCCCTCCCAAAGCGCCCGCTGTGCTGCCCCCCAATTCTGGACTAGGAAGGACACCAGTAAACTCATTTCTTCTTGGTTCTGATGGTAGCGCTTTAATGTCTGCGACCTCCCAAGAGTAATTTTGTGTTTAAGTATCATTATTGAAGCCTATTACCGTCTACCCCACTTGCAAAAAGAAAAAAAAAAGGCAATATGTAAAAGATTAAAACAAAAACCTCCTCCCATCCCAATCTTGATATGCGTATATGTTTGCATTTTCAGAGAAGACTCAAGGCAGAGTTGAGTGCAAAGAAAAGGATTCTTTAAGCAGACTCCTGCTCCGAGTTTACTGTGGGCGTTACTAGGGTGTGCAGGAGGAGGTGAGAGCATGGACTGAGGGGAAGAGGCAGGAAAGGCACACCGGTAGAGTGAAGGAGGGACTCACCAGTGTGGGGGAGGGGACAACTGCAGAGACAGCTGCCGAGAAATTTGCCCCCCAGGGTAATGGGGGCCCTTGGGGGAAGGAGGGGGACTGGAATGGTGAGGTTTCAGGCACCGTGCCCCACAGTGGGAGAAGTACTTGGAGCTCAAAGGAGATGCCCAAAAGTTCTCAAACTATAAATGTAGGTAATATCCACCGTTTCCACCCCAAAGCCTGGTTCTGGTCAGCTCACCGTTGTTGGAAGGAGGGCAGTGTGAGGTGGAGAATATGGCCTCTGGGTTCGGAGATACAGTGCAGACCCCCAGATTTATCTTCGTGTGGCATCGCACAGGCGACTCTACCTTCCAGAGCGAACACTCACCATTTCCACACGAAGGTAACAACTCAGACGGTCGTCTTCCGCCCGTGCCCTTGGCAGGTGTGTGCGCTGATGACCCCTGGAAGAGATGACAGGTGACACGCACAAATGCGCCCCTGCGGAAGGGTGCATTGTGACAGCACAGGGCTCCTGGGGCTAAAAAGGACCTGGCTTCTGGCGGGAAGCTGGGCCTGGGGGGTATTCCAGATGGAGAGATAGTTTCTGAGAGACAGAGGCATGAAGTCAAGTCCAGTATAAAGGGCCTCAATGTCTAGGTCAAAAGAGGAAGACAGTCCAGGGCTCTAGAAAGTTCTAGAGAGCAATTTCCACCCAAGGGTCTGATATATTGACACTGAGCTTCTATCCTCACCTTCAGAAAAACTCACTCTTGAACCTGAACCTCACTCTTACTCTCTGGTGGTCACAGGGGCCTTGAGTTTTTCCTGAAAACTTAATGGGGGGGGTCTCTGTTGGTTCCCACACACATTAAACAATGGAACTGTCACCCTGCGTGTGTCCTAGATGCTGCCCAGGTGCTCTGAAGTGCGAGTTAATTCTCACAGCAGCCCTTGGGGATGGGCCGTGTTGCCCTCTGCGTATTACAGGTAAGGAAACTGAGGCCCAGGGGGATTATGTGACCGGGATAGTGGGTCCAGGCTTTGGGGCCCGAACCTGCGTCCTGTGCTGCATCGTTTTCGAGAACGAGAGCTGCTTGAGGGTGGGGAGGGAGTTTGTGTTTCATCTCCGAATCCCAGCTCCCATCCTGCCTCCTGACTCTCATTCCGTGCCCAGTGACTATTTGTTGAATGGCTGAATGAACGAGTTGGTGAGCCCGTCTCCCCAAGATCGTGGCCGTCCCGGATGCAGGGACTGGTGACTTCAGCAGGATCATCACGAAGGTGTTCGTTGTTTAAGGAAACCTCGCAGGCTCCCCTGGAAGGTGCCCCCTTCTTCTGGCCGCTAGACACTTCCTTGTCTTTGGGACCTTTTCACTAAAATCTAGGATAAGAGCTCCTTCCAGGAGCAGGGCTTTGACAGATTGTCACCTCTCTGGTGACACAGAGAAGAGCCTTGGGTAATAAACCAGCAAAACCAGGAATCTCACTTAGTAATTTGTCGTGGGCCAGGCTGGGCTGGTCGCACTATGTCCCTCCTCAAGCCAGCGTCACAGTCACTGTGCTTCTCAGAAACAGAGCACGTGTGGGGCATGAAGGACAGGTGTACAAATGGGCCGTGACTGCCACAGCCCGGTGACTGGGAGGGAAATTGGGGAATCAATCACACGATGTGACAGCTCCAAGCAAAGTCAAGTTCATTTCACTCAAACCGAACGAGACCGTTTAAAGAGTCATGGTGTGTGTCTGTTTATGCAAATCATTATTCAAAATAGACTCCTTTCTTTGGCTCCTGGAAATATAACAAGGCGCGTGCGCTTCCGGAGGAAACTGCTAACTACATGTTTGTGCACAGAAGTGGGAGAAGTAAATCTTGAAGAGGGTGTTTTGAAATTCCAATAACAGCAAAACAGTCTTCCTACTTCTTTTGTGCTGGATAAATTCCAGGGACTTTGCCCTAGAAAGCTATTCTTACTATCTTCACTATTGTACATAATTTAGTATTTGGTGATGAGTAACTAATCCTGTGGCTACAGTATTTACACTAATACTGTGGCCACTGTACTTACATTAATTTTCCTTCAGAAGAGTTTTCTCATTGCAACTTCATGGCAGGCGGACCAGCCCCTCTAGAATTCCAGTCCCCCCTTGTTTCCTCCCTTCTTCCTCCCTTCCTTCCATCCTTCCTTCCGTCAGCAAATATTTATCAAGTGCCTTCCGTACACCAAGCACTGTGACGAATAATGAGACAAATCAAAACTGTATCTCCAAAAACATTAATTCCGCCTTTAATATAATCTGCGAGGATAAACTTGAAAGGAGGCCCCTGGGGAAACTGCGAGTAACTGCCAATTCTGCTAATGATAATAAGTTGATTTTAATTGCTAATATATTCCTAATTACTCTAGTTCTAACCTGTTTACTCGGCTGTCAGTCATCCTCTTTGATTTGTGTTCTTTGTGAAAGACTTTGTCACATCAATCAACCCTTTTCAAGTTGGGTGGCAGCTGCTGGGAGGGACTTCACCTTCCTTGTCACGCAGCTCGGCTGGGCTGGGCACCGTTTGTCCGAAGGCAGAGAGAGACCTTCCCCACAAAATAGTCTAGAATCCATGGCTTTGCATTTCAGCTTAAGAAGAGTAGTATTTTCAAGGCTTTGGTGACCCGAACAAAGAAGACTGACTCGTAGTCTATTCCAAACTCTGTTTTCAGTCTGATCTTCGACCTGTGCGTGTCCTCTCAGCTGCCAAACGTGTAATTGCCAAACAAGTAATTGCTTCAAGTACACAATGCAGTTGGTTTAAAGACCACTAATCTGGGGGGGGGGCATTCGAGGGTCCCACTACCCTGTTCGTTCATATTCCCCTGTAAGTGTGTATTGAGCCCCTAGGGTTGGGGGTAGATTAGTGACCACGACTGGTAAGTTTTGATTACCCAGCAACTTATATACTCATAGGAAGAGACAGACAATAAACAAGTAAACAAATAAATACAACATGAGGTGGTTGCCGATGATATATGTTATGAAAGAAAAGTACATCAACAGAGTAGGTTAGGAGGAGGGATACCTTAGGTAGTCAGAGGAGGTCATGTTCAAGGTGAGGAGTGAGCATGAGAAGGAGCCAGTTAGGGGAGAGCTAAGAGAAGATTTTTGCCGGGGAGAGAGAAAGCAAAGGCTCTCAGACTGGGGAGCACCTGGCCTGTGTGAAAGGAACAGGAAAGGGCAGCTAGGGTGAGGGGCAGATGAGCAAAGAGGAAATGTGGAGGGGAGAGGCAGCTGGAAGGCACACGGTCCTGTAGGAGCGTGTCAGGGGACAGGGTGTGAGTCCAAGTGACAGACGCAGACGGGTGCAGAAGGAAGAGCATGTGAAGACACAGGGGGCCACCCACTAGCCTGGAACAGATCCTTCTCTTATGACCTTCAGAGGAAGCAAATCTACCGCCCCCTCGATCTTGGACTTCTAGCCCCAGAACGCTGAGAAAACAAATTTATGTCGTTTAAGCCCCCAGTTTGCAGCACTTTGCAATAGCAGCTCCAGCAAACTAATGTGGGAATCACGGATGACTCCCCAATTTTGTATTTGGAAAACTGAAAAAGAAAGGTCATGTCTGTCAACTGAGATGGTGGGGTCAGCGAGGGGCACATTTGGAATTAGAAGCTGTCTCGGGCAGGTTAAGTTTGAGATGTGTTCTAGAACTCCGGGAACTTTGAGAGGACGACCACCGGGAGTGTGAGAGGAGACCAGGGCCCAGCAGCAGAGCAGCTGGAGGGGTCGTGATTTAGAGAGGTAGTTACACTCAGGCACGTGGGCGAGACTACGGAGCTGCAACAGAGAGGAGGCCCACAGACTAAGCCCGGGGACCTTCCGGAATCTCAAAGTTGACAAAAACGTGGAAGAATTAGCAGAAGAGACAAA